ACGCAAATTAAAACTACAATGTAGACAACCTACAGACTGGGAGAGAATTTTCAGGAATCGTATTCTGAGTAAGGGCCTAATACTCAAAATATATATAAAACTTCTACAACTTAACAACAAAAGGACAAACAACCCAATCAAAAAACAGACAAAGGACTTGAACAGACAGTTCACCAAAGAAGATATTCAAATGGCCAACAAACACATGAAAAGATATTCGACAACACTGGCTATTAACAAAACAAACCCACTGCTGCCGAGTCAATTGACTCATAATGACCCCATAGGCTTTCCTAGGCTGTAAACTTTATGGAAGCTGATCACTAGGTCTTTTCTCCCGTGGAGTCACTGGTGGGTTCAAATCGAAGATCTTTTGGTTAGCAGCTGAGCGCTTAACCACTCTGCCACCAGGGCTCCATTTAAAAAAAAAAAGAAAAAAAAAAACCATTGCCGTCAAGCCGATTCCAGCTCATTACAGAGGTGCAAATCAAAACCACAATGAGATGCCATCTTACCTCTATTAGAATGGCAATGATCAAAAAAAACAGAAAACAGGTATTGGTGAGGTTGTGGAGAAAACTGGAACTCTCATCCAAACTGAATGTAAAATGGTACAGCCACTGTAGAAAATAGTTTGGCACTTCCTCAAAAAGTTGAACATAGAACTATCATATGACCCAGCAATCCCAATCCTAGGTATATATATACACCCAGAAGTGAAGTCAGGAATGCAGATGAAACCTGTACACCAATGTTCATTGTAGCACTTTTCACGATAGCCAGAAGGTGAAACGACCGAAATGTCCATCAGCAGATGAATGGATAAACAAAAGGTGGTATATACATACAATAATGGAATATTATGCAGCCATAAAAAGAAATAAACTTCTGATGCATGGAACAACATGGATGGACTTGAAAACATTAAGCTGAGTGAAATGAGTCAGTCACAAAAGGACAAACACTGTATGAGCTCACTTATATGAAATAAGCAGACATATAGAAACCTAAGATTACTAACGGTTACCAGGGATGGGAGGGATGGAGAAAAGAGGAGTTTTTCTTTGGGGGGCACTGAGTTTATGTTAATGGTGGTGGAAGATTTTGGAAAGGGGGTCACAATAATGGTAGGACAACATTAATTAATATCATTGAATTGTAAATGTGAAAGTTGTATTAGTGAATGTTTTGCTGTGTATATTTTTACCACAATATAAAAAAAAAAAAGCAAAACATTGCACGCCCACTAAACCAAACTAAACCAGTTGCTGTCAAGTTGATTAACATAGTCACTAAAACCAAAAAAGAACCAAACCTGTTGCCATCACGTCAATTCCGACTCATAGTGAGCCTGCAGTGACCCTATAGGACAGAGCAGAACTGCCCCATAGGGTATCCAAGGAGCGGCTGGTGGATTCAAACTGCCGAACTTTTTGGTTAGCAGCTGAGCTCTTAACCACTGCGCCACCAGAGCCACTAGAATGCCTAAAAAGGCTTACCTTAGCAAGTGTTGGTGAGGACGTAAGCCCACTTTGGAAACAGTCTGGCAGTTTCTTAAATATTGAACATACACTTGCCATATGAGCCAGCCATTCCACTCCTAGGTATTTACCCAGGGAAAATGAAAGAATATGTCAATACAAAGACTTGTACACCAATGTTCATAGCAGCTTTATGTGTAATCGCCAAAAACTGGAAATAACCTAGATGTCCATCAGCAAGTGATGGTGGCACAATGGTTAGGGTCTCAGCTGCTAACTCGCACAATAGCTCCATGGGAGAAAGAACTGGCGATCTGCTCCTATAAAGATTACAGCATAGAAAACTCTATGGGGCAGTTCTACTCTGTTACATGGGGTCACTATGAGTAGAATCAACTCAGTGGCACCTAAAAACAATATATCCATACCATGGAATACTACCCAGCAACAAAATGAAATGAACTATTAATATGGGCAACAACATGAATGAATATCAAAATAATTATGCTGCGTAAAAGAAGCCAGATCTTTACCCCCTCCCTAAAGAAAACATACTGTGTGAGTTCATTTATATAAAATTCTAGAAAATATAAACTAATCTATAATGACAGAAAGCAATACAAACTAATCTATAATGACAGAAAGCAAATCAGTGGTCATCTGGAGTAAATCAAGTACTCAGATAAAATGTTTGTGATTTCCTGGACTAAGATAAATACCCCTTTTACAAACTTTACTTCTCTGTAGCACTTGTTACAGCAGCAATTTTGTTTTTGTCGTGATTCAATACTAAAATCTGTTTCTTCCCAGATTATAAACTGAGGACAAATACCATGCAGGCTGTGGCTCATCCTAGTATCACCAGTGCTGGACACAAAGTAGTCACTCAGTAAATATTTATCAAACTGACAAAGGAGTAATCAAATGTTGGTGAGGTTGTGTATATTACACAACTATTTAAAATAAATATGCAAGACTATGGCTGAATCTCACAGACATTACGTTGAGTGAAAGAAGCCAGACATGAAAGAGTACATACTGTATGACTCCATTTATAAGAAGTTCGAGAATAGGCAAAACTAATTCATGGTGATGAAAATCAAAATTGTAACAATTTATAGGGCAAGTGGGAATGATTAGGAAGGAGCATGATGAGAGCTATCTGGGTGCTAAAAATGTTCTACTTCTTAATCTGAGTGGTGATTACATGGATGGATGGAAATTTTATACACACACACACACACGTATGTATTTATATATGTGTGTAATCCACACACACACACATATGTAAATATAAGTGTATGCTGTTGTTAGCTGCCACCGAGTTGGCTCCGACTCATGCTGACCTTACGTAGAACAAAACAAAATGTTATCTGGTCCTGTGCCATCTTCATGATGCCACACAACCCTATGCATGTATACACATATATAAAAAGCCATCACTTTTAAAGTATGCTTTTCTGTATGTATGTCATACCTCAACCAAAGGAAAAAGGAAACGAAAATATTTCTGAAGGAAAAAAAAGTAGAAAACTAAGCATCAATCAGAAACATGCCCACAAAACTTTGGTAAATTAAAAAAAAAACCATTCTGCAGAACATGTTATATGTTATGATCTGGTTTTGATAAAACAATATACACATACATTCTTCCTTTTGGCTGCAAATGACGGAAGTCCAACTCAAACTACCTTAAGAAAAAATTCATTTACTGATGCATACCTGGAAAGCTCACTTAGCCAGGCCCTCAAAAACCCATCATGGTGCCAATTTCGACTCATAGCGACCCCATACAGTTTCCAAGGCTGTAAATCTCTACAGAAGCAGACTGCCACAGCTTTCTCCTGTGGAGCCGCTGCTGATTTTGAACTGTCTACCTTTCAGTTAGCAGTCGATCGCTTTAACCACTGCATCACCAAGGCTCCTTTAGTTAGGCCCATGTCCTCACAAATAATTTTTATTAAGAACTTCAGTGAAACTCTCTAGACTGTTCAAACACAAAAAATTACTAAGGCATCACTCATAGGTGACCATGAAAATTCCAAGTTCACTCTAAGAGGAGTGCTAGAACCAGGGCTGGCCAGGTTTCAAACGAGGCTTCTGTGTGTCTGTAAACCTGGAGAGATGTGCCGTGTAAGTTAAGTTACAGAAGAAAGAGAAAACAAGCTATGGTTTTCAAATGTGAGTCTCCAATCCTAAAGGCACAAAGATAAGATTTTCTGAAATACAGGCATTTGAGCTGCTTCTCACATGGGCAACTCTATGTAGTTTACTGCAAGGTGAATAATAGCAAGGACTTATTTAATGATGATATTAATTCTTGACAGGCTGACAGGTACTCTGAGCTTCAAAAGATAAGAAAACAAACAAACCTGTTGTCATCGAGTTGATTCTGACTCATAATGACTCTATTGGACAGAGCAGAACTGTCCTATAGGGTTTACAAGATTGCAAATCTTTATGGAAGCAGACTGCCACATCTTTCTCCTTTGGAGTGGCTGGTGAATTTGAACCATTGACCTTTTGGTTAGCAGCTGAGCGCTTAACCACTGTGCCACCAGGGCTCCCAAAAGATAAGAATACCTCCCAAATTATGCCAAACTCGATGACTTCTCAAATTCACAGGTAATCCTTTATTTCAAAAATTCCTAGGTAAAAAGTTGAAGACAGCCGTACAATACCAACTTTATAATTGCCAGGTTTTCAAAGTACTTAGAAGGAAAGGATTAAATGTGTTTTATATATCCCAAACAAATAATTAATTCCTTTAGTCACTCAACAAACACGAGCACCCACGATGCAGACTGAACCATAAGAAACTGCTGATATTTAACCATTTTTAAACTACAAAGAATGGCAATTTCATATAGTTCGACTAAAAAACCAGGCATTGTCCTAGGTGCTAGGAAACAGCAATGAACAAAACAAATACTCAGCCTTTATATGGAGCTTACATTCTGTGTGTGTGTGTGTGTGTGTGTGTGTGTGTGTGTGCGCGCGCACACGCGTGTGCATGTGTGCACGTGTGCGCATGGAGGGAGGCAGATAATAAACAAGCAAATACATGGTATATTAGATGATGTTGCATGCTTCTGAGAAGAACACAAAAGGTTAAGGGAGACAGCCAGTCCAGTGGAATGGTTGTTGCTATTTTATATGGGTAGTCAAGGAGCGCCTCACTAATGACATTCAAGCAAAACTCTAAAGGAAAGAGGGTGCAAGCCTCTTAGATTCCTCTAAAAGGGCAGAATCTGGTCACCAACATGAAAATTTCTGCTGAGTTTATGCCAAAAGCCACAAGAACAAACAATCCTGCTAAAGCCACTGGAGTATTATAACAATTAGTTATTTAAACTCTCAATCAGTTAATCCATAACTAACAAAATTACCACGGCTGCTTACAGTTCACATTCTACACGCAACACAAGTTTCACATTTCCATATTTTTTGGTCCATGTTTTCAATCTAATAAATATCCACATATAAGAACATACATAAAGATAAGCAATTTATTCTTACATCTTTTGAAGAACCTGGGCCATCACAACCCCACTCGTTAAATCTTCCACGGTCTGGCATGGTGCATCTACATTAAATGTCTGGATCTGGGGAAAAAAAAAAGAAGGGAGAAAAGATTCTATGGTTAACACTTAGGAGATTTCTTAGGCTTCTTTTTGTGATTATCTCACCCTGGGGGTAGGAATAACTCTAAAAAGTAGAACAGCTGGAAATGTCTTCCTTCAGATTATTTTCATTTTCCCCCTTTGGTAAAACAGAAATTGAGATGGACATTGGGTGACTTCCCAACATGCATTTTACTCACAAATAACCAGTCAGTCTAAGAAAATCACGGTAACTTTATCCCCTCTCCTAGTGGCAGATTCAGGGATGGGCATGCCCAAAACAATATGGACCAAAGAGATGCTTGCTTGAGCTTCTGGGAAAGAAAAGTCAATTACATCTTGATGAGTATGTCACCCCAACTGCCAAGAGCAGTCATTTTATAACTATTAAGGGAATCAGTCTTAGGATAAGATCAATACAGTAGATGGCAGAGAGGAGAGATGGAAAGAACTAGGTCTTTCAGGCCAAAAGGGAGCCATGGAATTAAAAAACCTCCAACTATGTGAGATAAATTTCTTTGTTGTTTAAGCCAGTCCACGTTGAGGTTTCTGTCACTCAGAGTCAAGATATCCTGATACAGATGCAGAAGTCACATTTACTATGGTTAGGTTACTTTTCAATTCATTTCTATTTCAAGTACTCTGAGAACTAACTTCGTGCTGGTCAACATGTGGCCAGAGAAATGTTATAATTTTCCTAGTAGAAATAATCTCTGTGAGTAAGAAAAAGTCAATGGGCTAACAGTGATTAGATTCAGTAGCGCAAGAATAACTTGGAAAATAAATTTCTGAGAATAGACAGACGCAGGCCAGGCCCCAGAGTTTATAGTTATTACAGGAAATGCAAACAGCAAGCACAAAGATTAGAAGTAAGAGTGGCATGCAATCTAGGAATGAAAAGAAGCTTAATATAGATTCAGTGATGAGGCACTGATGATTCAGTGGTAGAATTCTCACCTTCCATGCAAGAGACTAGGTTCAATTCCCAGCCAATGCAGTTTATGAGCAGCCATGGCCCATCTGTCAGTGGGGTGCTGCTATGATGCTGAACAGATTCCAGCAGTTTCCCGACTAACTAGGATTGGGAAGAAAGGCCTGGTGATCTACTTCCAAAAATCAGCCACAACTGATCATGGAGATAGCGCAGGACCGGGCAACATAATATTCCACTGTGCGTGAGGTTGTCATGAGTCAGTGGCTGACTTCATAGCAGGTAACAATTAACATGCAAAACCTTATAAGCCATGTTAGGACTTTATCCTAAGAACAACGGGAAATCAGCAAAGGATTTCAAGCAAGAGAGTGAGATCATTTGATCTGCATTTTACAAAGATTGTACTGAAGAAAGAATTGGAGGGAAAGAGGCCAGGAGACCTATTTTAGCAGGTTCAGCACAGATGAAATTATGGTAGACTAAACTAAGCAGAAAGAGCCCTGGTGGCGCGATGGTTAAGCACTCAGCTGCTAATCGAAAGGTCAGTGGTTCAAACCCACCTAGCAGCCCCGCAGAAGAAAAGACCTGGTAATCTGCTACCATAAAGATTACTGCCTAGGAAACCTATCAGGCAGTTCTACTCTGTCCTATAGGGTCGCTATGAGTTGGGATCGACTCAATGGCACACAGCAGTAACAACAAACTAGGTACCGACAGTGGAAATATTAGAAATAACATTCAAGTGACCACCTGTCCTCACATCCATCTTTATTTACTGGATTATATTCCTAGAAGTAAACTTGCTGGGTCAAAGTGTGTGCACATTTTAAGGCTTTTGACAATTATTGCCAAAACTCTCTTTAAAAAATGCTGCAACAATTTATTCTCTGACAGCAGGTGAGTTTCCACTTTTAAGATCAAATCTTTAAAAAAGAACTACTGAGTATAGACAATAGCTTCTATATATTTTCTATATAGGAGAGTTTAACGGGTAGTGATCTGGTTACGATGGTGGAGGTTAAGAAAATGATCTTGAAGATCCGCATAGCAAGTAGTTTTTACTTATGTGTCCACTGGGGGTGAGTGATGAAAAGAGTGTCCCTCCAAGTCACCCCTGGCCCTGTCCTAACACAGCAGTAGAGGCTTAGGAAGTGATCAGAAAATAAATAAATGCAAAAATAAACATCTGCAGACTCTGATTTTGAGTTTTACTCCATTCTCTCTCCAGCTGCTTCCTTGCTGGTAACGTGGAGATAATAATGTAGTTTAAAAAGAAATAAGCACCAGCTTTCATTTTACAGTTGCTAATAGCCCATTTTTTAAAAAATCAACCTTTCTTGTAGGTTTGTTTAGAAGGAGAAAAAGATGCAGCAGTGAGGGCCACAGCTCACTAATCTATCACTAATCATAGCACAATGCCCAATACACAACAAACCTCACTGTACTGTATGTTGCTGTGAATGGAAGGAACTAATTCTATCCCTAGCTTTGCTCTTAATTTGCTGCATAACCTTGGATTTGTCACTTGATCTCTTTTTTTTTTGAACACTTTATTAAGTGAAAATTTACACAGCAAATTAGTTTCCCATTCAACACTTCATACACAAATTGTTCTCTGACATTGGTTGCTATCCCTGCAACGTGTCAACACTCCCTATTTCCATCATGCCTTTCCCATTTCCATCCCTCCTTGCCTTTTCATCTTTGCTTTTGGGCAAATGTTGCCCACTTGGTTTCGAATAGTGGATTGTTCTAAGGAGCACAATCCTCATGGGTTTTGTTTATTTTATAGGCCAATCTATTATCTGGATGAAAGGTGACCTCCGGGAATGGTTTCAGTTCCTGGTTAAAGCAGTATCCCAGGATGATAGTCTTGAGGGTTCCTCCAGTCTCTATCAGTCCAGTAGGCCTGGCCCTTTTTTATGAATTTGAGTTTCATTCTACATTTTTCTCCCATTCTATCTGGGGCCTTCTATTGTGTCCTTTGGTCAGAGCAGTAGGTAGTGGTAGCAGGCACCATCTAGTTCTTCTGGTCTCAGGCTAGAGGAGGCTGTGGTTCATGTGAGCCATTAGCACTGTGGACTAATTGTTTCCTTGAGTCTTTGGTTTCTCTCCTTTGCTCCAGACGAGAAGAGACCAACAGCTGTTATCTTAGATGGCTGCTCCCAAGCTTTTAAGACCCCAGATGCTATTCACCAAACTAGGATGTAGAACTTTATGAACTACGTTATGTCAGTTGACCTACATGTCCCCTGAGACTATGGTCCTTAGCCTTCAAGCCCAGTAACTCAGTCCCACGAGGTGTTTGGATATGTCTAAGAAGTTTTCATAACTGTGCCCTCTATGTGCTCTTATATATGAATGTATTTGCAGCACATACAAATATATATACACAAATGCCCACAACTACCTACATATGCGTGCGCATGTACTCCCATACACCCTCCCACACCTATATAGTGTACAAATCTACCTATGTAACCACTCACAAATTTTTGGTTATTACTGTTGCTGCAGAACTGTGTATGTTATAGCATTTACCATAGTTGTCCTTTATTCTTGCATACCTCTCAGAGTCTTCATTTACCTCGGTCACGTTGTGCTGATTTCCCCCATATGGTGTATTGCCTTTCCCTTCACGAGAATTAACACCTGTGTACTAAGTGAGTCTCCCTCCCTCCCTCCTCCTCTTATCCCTGGTAACCATCAAAGAATGCTACTTTCTGTGTGTAAACCTATAATTCAATTTTTATAAAAGTGGTATCATACAGTATTTGTCCTTTTGTGATTGACTTACCATATTTTTATGCAAATAACATGCACCTTCTACATTTGTTTGCCAACCGCTCCCTCCCCCACTGAGGTATTTCTGTAAATGCCTTATGGTAATTGTTTTACAGTAACATAAAAAAAATTGGCATAACTGTGCTTATGAAAATACCTTGTGGGGAAAGGGAGCAGTAGGCAAACAAATGAAGAAGGCATGCGTTATCTGCGTAAAAATATGGTATTTCACTCAGCATAATGCCTTAAAATTCATCCATGTTATGTTTCACAGACTCATCATTATTCTTTATGGATGCATAGTATTCCATTGTATATATGTACATTTTGTTTATCCATTCATCCAATGATAGACATGAAGGCTGTTTCCATCTTTTTGCTATTGTGAATAATGCTGCAATGAACATGGGTGTGCATATGTCTATTCGTGTCTCTGCTTTTATTTCTCTAGGCTATATACCCAGGAGTGAGATTGCTGGATCATGTGGTATTTCCATGTCTAGCTTTCTGAACAAGTGCCACATCATTTTCTGTAGTGGGATGTACCATTTTACAATCCCACCAGCAGAGTTCCAATCTCCCCACAACCATGTCAGCATTTGTTGTTTTGTTTTTTTAATCAATGCCATTATTACATCTAATGGCTAATGATCACTAGCATTTCTTCATGAGTTTGTTAGCCACCTGAATGTCCTCTTTGGTGAAGTGTCTGTTCATATCTTTGCCCATTTCTTTTTTTTATTGGATTGTTTGTCTCTCTGTTGTTGAGGTGTGGAAGTTTTCTACATATTTTAGAGATCAGACCCTTGTTAGATATGTTGTTTCAAGAATTTTTTTCCCTATCTGTATATTCTCTTTTTACTCTTCTGGTAAAGCCTTCTGATCAGCATACCTATTTAATTTTTAGGAGGTCCCAGTTATCTAGTTTATCTTTTGTTGTTTGTGCATTTTTAGTTATGTTATGTTTGATAGTGTGTTTATGCCATAAATCAGGACCCCTAGTTTTATCCCTACGCTACCTTCCAGGGACTTTTTATACTTTTAGGTTTAACATTTAGGTCTTTGATCCATTTTGAGTTAGTTTTTGTGTATGGTGTGAGGTATAGATCCTGTTCATTTTTCTGCAAATGGATATCCAGTTTTATCAGCACCATTTGTTAAAGAGACTATCTCTTCCCCATTGAATGGACTTCGATCCTTTGTCAAAGATCAACTGTTCATAGCTGGATGGATTTACTTCTGGGACTGATCTCTCTTAATATCA